TTCTTGCAGAGAGGTCAATTATGTCATATGACTGCATTTACAGATTAATAATTTTTGTTACAAACCGCCCTTAAGTCAAATGTCTTTTTATTTTCACCGTGCGTGCAACTGTGATCCATTCACTAGCAAGTTTACTTACGACTGTAGGTTTCAGCACAATTTTGACTCAATAACAGACTCTGGGGGAGAGGAATGAAAGGGCAGGGGAAAGGGCAGGGGGAAAGATTTTCAGCAGACGAATGCAGGGAGAGGTCACGAGAATACGCTGTTGTTTTGAGTTATTTCCATCTTAGGTGGATGATTCACTGTGGCACGTCATTAACCTGTTGTGTAGCAGTGGTGTGCACAGCCTGAGAAACAAGGCCTTTGGGTTAAATGGGTTTTTCTGACTCATTGATGTCACATTTCAAGACTTTATTTTAGTGCTTTTCCAAATTTAAGGGTTCAGGAGAATGAATCAATGGCAATATTCTTGTTACTCAAATTATCTTTGGTTCCTATAAGCTTATTGTAATGCTGGTTGGCAGTTTTGAGGTCAGCAAACAAATCTATATTTATTCTTATAAAATGGATTACTCTCATAAAAAAATCTGAAATGTGTTAACACCAATAATTACTCTTAACTTTTTCTGTTAATAGTAATTTGTCTGAAGGATTCCTTTATTTTCTCACATTATTGTACTCAGGAAGAAATTCACGTGAGCAGTTCTGGAATTTTGTTATTTATTCCAAGAATTTCCCCTTATTAAAATAATAACTTAAAAACCCATGACAAGATTTGTAATACCATATTAGTTGTTTTGGGAGACAGTTTGTGAAACCATGGAGATAATGTCTACTTAAATACTTTCTGCCATTTTGTAGGAATTTTTTTTTTTTTTGAGAGAGAGTCTCACTGTGTCACCCAGGCTGGACTTTGGTGGCACCATCATAGCTCACTGCAGCCTCGACCTCCTGGGCTCAAGCCATCATCCCGTCTCAGCCTCCTGAGTAGCTGGGACTACAGGCACGTGCCCCCACACCTGGCTCATTTTTTAATTTTTTTGCAGAGAAGTCTCTCTATGTTGCCCAGGCTGGTTTCAAACTCCTGGCCTCAAGCACTCCTCTCCCCTCGGCCTTCCAAAGTGCTGGGATAACAGGCGTGAGTCACCATGCCCAGCCTTGTGGGACATTTAAAGAAAGGAGGATATGATTCAGATACTTTGTAAGCAACTGTGTGGGGATAAAACCCCATGGAAAAGATTCCTCATGCTGACTCCCCTCCTGAAACAGGGGCAGGGCCACCTGCAGCCATCTTCCTCTCTTCTAGCTGCCATAAACACTTTTTTAATCCCAACAATACACACAAAATAGGCCAGGTATCTTCTATCATCCTTTACTGCTGCTGTGTTTGATTCCTGTCTGACTTGCCCTGCATGCATAGACCTAGACCTTCGTTTTCTTTCTCACCTGTTGCTTCTATACCTGGGTGCTCACCTGTCTGCTTTGTGTGGACTGACCCGCAGCATTCACTGAGTGGCTTCCTTGAATTCAAACACACACCTCCTTGTCCCACGTGTATGTACACCTGATTCTTTGGGATGCATTTGCTACTAGGAAATGTGCTAGTTCGATGGAATCTAGACCTCTCTTAACTAAAGACCTCTTCTTGTCCCCTCCCAGTGACTCCTGGCCAACACAGTTTTACAACTTCCTGTGCTCCTGCAAGACACCTCCTACACTGGATGCCAGATAGGGCACTAGAGAAAATTAATGCATCTCATAGCAATTCAAGCATCCGTCCTCCAAAATAAAACATGCAAAACTTAAACCTCGAAGTGAGCGTGGAATACCTTCAGTGACCCGCAGCTCAGGGTAGCTTTTGTGTTTCTCACGAGGGAGAGACTAGAAGGAGGGCAAAAGAAAAGCCACTGCAGGGGGCAGAAAATTCAGATGAAAAATGTTTTCAGTCCTGTTCAACGAGGGTGATAAGGTTATGTAGGAGAAGAAAATAATTTTTTTCTTCTTAAAATAGGGAGAGGGGGAAATATACGATGGAAAAATTAAGCAAGAAGATTTCATTATGTCAGATTTCCTAAGTGATAAACCCAAGATAATTGTTGAAGATAATTTGGGAAGATTAAGTGCTAGCTTTGCAGGGTGGATATTTGGAGGATATGCACTGATTCACCCAAAATGATTTTACAGCCTCATCTGTTCTGATTGCTCAGCGTCAATGCTATCCTGGGTGCTAAATGTTGCTAATAGCAACTCTGTTGCTCTTGCAACAGAGTTAGTGCCAGATAAATATTACTGTTATCATCATCATCATCATTTACATCACTTCACTTTTAAGAATTGTGATATCTTAAAAATCATTTGGCCGGGTGTGGTGGCTCACGCCTGTAATCCCAACACTTTGGGAGGCCTGGGTGGGTGGATCACTTGAGGTCAGGAGTTTAAGAACAGCCTGGCCAACATCATGAAACCCCATCTCTACTAAAAACACAAAAATTAGCCAGGCATGGTGGCGGGTGCCTGTAATACTAGCTACTCAGGAGGCTGAGGCAGGAGAATTTCTTGAACCCAGGAGGCAGAGGTTGCAGCGAGCTGAGATCAAGCCATTGCACTCCAGCCTGGGAGACAGAGTGAGACTCTGTCTCAAAAATAAAAGGAGGAGGAGGAGGAGGAGGAAGAGAAGGAGGAGAAGGAGAAGGGGAAAGAGGTCATTTGAGTCATTTTTAAGAAAGCAAAGTTAGTGTGACAAAGTTTGTTTCATAGACATATTTAATAAAGAGACTAAGACACCCTGATAACTAAAGCTATTAAAAATAAAAATATGCGACTGCTAAAGTATTAAAGTCACTTAAAGGGTGAACTACAAGTTTGCAAGATAGTGTATTCAAGGAAAGGTAGATTTGCCTCGACTTGGCCTATTTCAGCCAAGTAGTTTATTTTAAATACACACACGAAGGGATAATAGTATTATGGTTATGATTTAGAAAGTATCTTTATCGGCCAGGCATGGTGGCTGACACCTGTAATCCCAGCATTTTGGGAGACTGAGGCAGGCGGATCACCCGAGGTCAGGAGTTTCAGAACACCCTGGCCAACATGACGAAACCCCGTCTCTACTAAAAATACAAAAATTAGCCAGGTGTGGTGGGACATGCCTGTAATTCCAGCTACTCAGGAGGCTGAGGCACGAGAATTGCTTTAACCTGGGAGGTGGAAGTTGCAGTGGCGTGAGATGGCACCACTGCACTTCAGGTTGGGCGACAAGAGCAAAACTCCATCTCAAAAAAAAAAAAAAAGAAAAGAAAAAAGAAATAAAGTATCTTTAGCTTTTAGTACTGCATGTTGAAATATTTGTGGAAAAATAATATTTGCTTTAAAATATCTGTTGTAGGAAGATATAAATGGAAAAAGATCAGTCCAGTTGAAAATTATTAAAGCTGGACAATGTGTACATGAAAATCATTATTCTCTCTGCTTTTGTATATATTTTTAATTTCCAAATTAAAAGAATGACATAAATATGCATGCATGTACATATTCAAGTAAATATTGTGATTTGGCTTAAATATTACATACTGATTCTCTAAACCCACCGGACTTCTAAGTATGAGCTATAATTGGCATTAATCTTACAGTGTTTTAGAGCATTTTGAAATGTCCTTAGAGGCTGAGCAAGGTGGCTCAATCCTGTAATCCCAGCACTTTGGGAGGTCGAGACGAGTAGATCACCCTCAGGTGAGGTCAGGAGTTGGAGACCAGCCTGGCCAACATGATGAAACCCCGTCTCTACTAAAAATACAATAATTAACCAGGCGTGGTGGCAGGTGCCTGTCATCCCAGCTACTCAGGAGGCTGAGGAAGGAGAATTGCTTTAACCTGAGAGATGGAGGCTGGTGTGAGCTGAGATCGTGCCACCACACTCCAACCTGTGTGACAGAGCAAGACTCCGTCTAAAAAAAAAAAAAAGAAAAGAAAAGAAAAAAGAAATGCCCTTAGAAATGGTCTGCAACAAATTCCTCATGTTACAGATGAAACAATTGATTACCTTTGCCAAACTACATACTGCTAGTTACTGGCCAAAGGACTAGTAATGTCTCCTAACTTCCCAATTTAGCCTTGCCAAAAATGTCAGGAAACAGAGCAGCCAGTTGCGACTCACAGTGCATCCCACCCTATTTTGTCGCAAACTTTTCCGCTTCTTGGGCAATTGCTTCATTTGGTTTAGGCAAAGAAAGTTGAAAATGTAAAAACATGTTTTCTTTCTATCTCTTTTCACTTGACAGGGCGGCCATTTAAGTTCTAAGTGTTTGTCCACTAGTACTTCTAAATAAATGTACTAAAAACTATTATTTCAGAAATATCTTTTGAAAGCAGGAAATTGTTGGGTAAATATGCTTAATCACTCCTCACATCATTTTCATGTAAGTTTTTTTTTTTTTTTTTTTTTGAGACAGAGTCTCGCTCTGTCCCCCAGGCTAGAGTGCAGTGGTGCGATCTCAGCTCACTGCAACCTTTGCCTCCTGGGTTCAAGCAATTCTCCTGCCTCAGCCTCCTGAGTAGCTGGGACTACAGGCACCCGCCACCACACCCAGGTAATTTTTGTATTTTTAGTACAGATGAGGTTTCACCATATTGGCCAGGCTGGTCTCGAACTCCTGACCTCGGGTGATCTGCCTGTCTCGGCCTCCCCTAGTGCTGGGATTACAGGCATGAGGCACTGTGCCCAGCCTGTTTCTTTGGCCCCATGAAGACTAGTTTAGGCTGGAAAATTTCAATGGTGGTTCTGAGGCGTTTCCCAAGGTTTGGCACAATCTTGGGTCAAGCAGATTGGATAGAAGCCAGGCATGAAATTTCAGGCTAACATGAGCCTTCCTCTCAGTATAGTCCTCTCCCTACTTAGCTGCCCATGGATGGGTCTCTTGAGGGAAAGAGAGGGATGCAAAGAGTATCCTAGGATCAGGCTTTTATGAGACTGCTAATATCTCAGTTTCTTCCTTTTTCAGATGGGTGAGTCAAGTGAAGACATAGACCAAATGTTCAGCACTTTGCTGGGAGAGATGGATCTTCTGACTCAGGTAAACTTCCCTTTTTAACTGGCAAATTAGAAAACAAAAATAGAGTTGCAGAATTTCATTATAACATGACAAGGGAGCTGTCTTTTTTAAAACCCTGAAGATTGGCAACGTTATATAGTTCTGACATAATTGTGACAATGACGGATTTTAAAAAAGTTTGTCCCTGACTATACTCTTTTGAGATCAGTTAGTTTAATACATTGATCAGACATACATCAAACTTGTAGTATCCAAATATTTACCAATAGAGAAATTTACCCCCAAGTTTACTACCCTACAACCACCAGCACTGAGCCATTTGCTTATGGTTACCTTTATATAAACTCACTAAGAAAATATTATCTTTGTTTGATTTTGGGGTGTTTTTGAGACAGAGTCTCACTCTGTTGCTTAGGCTGGAGGCCAGTGGCACAATCATGGTTCACTGGAGCTTCAACCTCGTGGGCTCAAGTGATCCTCTGGCCTCAGCCTCCCAAGTAGCGGGGACTACAGGTGCACGCCACCACACCCACCTAATTTTTTTTTTCTTTTGTAGAGATGAGATCTCACTGTGTTGCCCAGGCTGGATATCATCTTTAGTAAAGACTTTTTACCAACCCTTGAGGAAATGCTATATTTTAAATAACTAAGTGGGAGTTTTGGTGGCCTCGTGATTAGACTGTAAGAACTTAGTACCCTCAAAGGAATGTGAAAACCACTCAGCCATAGACAGAAAAAAAGCCCCTGGCATCAAGATCGGATTGACTCAGAGGTCACTGAGCCCCACTGTCGGCGCCAATACAGCCAGGCAGCTGCTAACCCAGGGGCCACTAAGCCAGGTTACAGTCAGGTGCTAACCCAGGGGCCACTAAGCCAGGTTACAGTCAGGTGGGCTTTAGAGCATCTCAGAGTGTGCTTGTAAATGAGCCTTTGACTAAGAAGGTAACCAGCTCATCATTTTTCTGCATAAAATGTCAAAAGAAGAATAAGCCAGTATTCCTAAATAAGATAGGGGTCTTCTAAAGCTTTCTAAAAAAAAAAAAAAAAAAAAAAAAAAATGAATAGTCTGTGTTTTGAAAGACTATTTATTTTAGGAAAAATAAACCAATTCTAGACTGGGCGCAGTGGCTCACACCTGTATTCCCAGCAGTTTGGGAGGTCGAGGTGGGCAGATCACAGGTCAGGAGTTCGAGACCAGGCTGGCCAATATGGTGAAACCCCATCTCTACTAAAAACACAAAAATTAGCTGAACCTGGTGGCGGGTGTTTGTAATCCCAGCTACTCAGGAGGCTGAGGCAGGAGAATCATTTGAACCCAGGAGCAGAGGTTATGGTGAGCCGAGATTGTGCCATTGCACTCCAGCCTGGGCGACAGAGTGAGACTCTGTCTCAATAAAAACAAAAATAAAAAATAAACCAATTCTAGTTAGCATCTGCTTTATATTCCCAATAAGATTCAGAAAAGTTTAGATTCTATGAAAGAAGGGATAAGATACAAGACAGTTGGCTTAGAGGAAGGGGTGCTGGTTAAAAGGTGTTAGGATGACAACAACATTTCTTTCTTTCTTTCTTTCTTTCTTTCTTTCTTTCTTTCTTTCTTTCTTTCTTTCTTTCTTTCTTTCTCTTTCTCTTTCTCACTCTCATTCTTTCTCTTTCTTTCTTTCTCTTCCTTCCTTCTTCTTTCATTCTTTTTTTTTTTTTTTTTTTGAGATGGAGTTTCACTCTGTCAGCAGACTGGAGTGCAGTGGCACAATCTCGGCTCACCGCAACCTCTGTCTCCCAGGTTCAAGCAATTCTCCTCTCTCATCCACCGCCCCCCCCCCCGCCCCCCGCATTACTGGGATTACAGGTGCATGCCACCACACCCAGCTAATTTTTGTATTTTTAGTAGAGAAGGGGTTTCACCATGTTGGCCTGGATGGTCTCTATCTCCTGACGTCGTGATCTGTCCACCTTGGCCTCCCAAAGTGCTGGGATTACAATTGTGAGCCGATGGCAACCACATTTCTAAAGATGAGGACTGTGTTTTCTCCTCCCATGGCGGAGGAGAGTTTAAGGGAATGTGTGTGGTCTCTCTGTACCCGTTCCCTCATTCCTGCAGCCAGTGGGGGAAGTGTTCTGATGGGCCAGAGTCTGGGATTTTTGCGGGACCACATTTAAGTGTTGTTACTGTAAGACAAGAACAGGAAAGCGGCTGGGCATGATGGCTCACACCTGTAATCCCAGCACTTTGGGAGGCCAAGACAGGAGGCTCACTTGAGCCCAGGAGTTAAAGACCAGCCTGGGCAACATAGTAAGACTCATTTTTATTTTAAAAAAAAAAAAGGAATAGGAAAAGTCCCCTTTTAGTCTCTTGGACCTGCCTTCACACAAAGCCCTTTTGGTTTTTGCTATTTCTTTGTTGCGGCCAAATGGATGTAGTCATAGGTTTGCTTGGCTAAACAGCCCTGCCAACAGGTAGGTTCTCAAGATTTTAGGCTAAGGAAGTATTTTACTACAACAGACTGCATCCTCCAACAGCTTGTCTCCTCCAAGTAACTGGATATTTATTTCTTTGATGTCATGACTTAAGTCATTACAGAATTATTTGTATACATGTATATGTATAGTGTGTGTGTTCACCATTACAAGACATTATTTGTTCTTTTTAAAAATTAACTATCTCATTCTCATTGACATGTTCCATTTCAAGATCTTCCTTCTAGAATAATTTTTAAGCTGTAATTTTCTATAGGGGAAAAATTACATAAAACATTTTCAAGTTACAATATGGTTTTCAGAGAACATACTGAGGGGGAAAATGTGTAAATAATACTTGGTTTTTGACTTGCTGAGTAAAGTGTGCTACAGAAATGTTTGTATCATGAATAACTTTGACGGGGATCTTTTTTCACAGAGTTTAGGAGTTGACACTCTCCCACCTCCTGACCCTAACCCACCCAGAGCTGAATTTAACTACAGTGTGGGGTTTAAAGATTTAAATGGTAAGCATAACAATTTCTTTTCTTAAGTAATTCAAAATCATGATGATGATTCAAATCAGTATGAAACTATAATTTGAAAACGAAATTAAAGGAACCTAAACATCATGATAAATATCATTGTTAAAATCATGGATTTCAGACTGGGTTTTACTGTGTCTTGATTGAATTGAGAGAATCAAGAAGATATTTTTGCCAATAACGAAAGGGAACACCATTCTGCATTTGTGAAAAGTCTCAAAATGATCTTGTACTTTAAAGTAAGGGGAGTTTCTTCTTATTACTAAGCCCATAGAGTAACAAGGAGTAGTATATGAAAATATTAATAAGGAAATGACCCTTCAGTGATAGAAATCAATTATTTCATAATGATTAATAAATATGAATGGATACTTCATATTTTATTTAAAATATTTTTAAATGTATATGTAATATATACTTAAATGTAATTTAGTCTACTTGACATTTTTTCATTTGTCCTGAACTTGTCACTTTATTTTATTACCAAAAATCTCTCAGCCATGCATGGTGGCTCACGCCTGTGATCCCAACACTTTAGGAAGCCAAGGCGGGAGGACTGCTTGAGCTCAGGAGTTTGAAACCAGCCTGGACAGCATGGCAACACCCCATCTCTACGAAAAATAAAAAAAAATAGCCAAGTGTGGTGGCATGTGCCTGTGGTCTCAGCTGCTTGGGAGGCTGAGGCAGGAAGATCAAGGCTGCAGTGAGCTGTGCTTCTGCCACTGCACTCCACCCTGGGCAACAGAATGAGGTTCTATCTCAAGAAAATAAGAAACAAAACAAAACAAAAACTCTCTGTTTATTTAAGTGGAGACATCTTTAGGCCACATGCTATTCATATTATAATAAGTCTTGAGGCCGGGTACAGTGGCTTAAGCCTGTGATCCCAACACTTTGGGAAGCCAAGGCGGGCAGATCACGAGGTCAGGAGATCAAGACCATCCTGGCTAACACGGTGAAATCCCGTCTCTACAAAAAATACAAAAAATTAGCCGAGTGTGGTGGCAGGCGCCTGTAGTCCCAGCTGCTAGGGAGGCTGAGGCAAGAGAATGGTGTGAACCCAGGAGGTGGAGCTTGCAGTGAGCCAAGATTGCACCACTGCACTCCAGCCTGGGTGACAGAGTGAGACTCCATCTCAAAAAAATAATAATAATGAGTCTTGAAGTAATCACTTTCAAATTATTGAAAACTCCCTGCAATTCTGGAAGAAGATTTCCCAAAGACTTGCAGTGCCTACCAAAAATGTGGAAGGCAAGATAGGAGAGAAGTTCAATTATAGAAATCCAGAATTCCAAGTTTTATTTCTGTGCTTCTCTGGATTTTTTTTTTTTTTTTTTTTCAGAGTCTCTCTCTGTCACCCAGGCTGGAGTGCAGTGGCGGGATCTCCACTCACTGCAACCTCTGCCCTCTGGGTTCAAGTGATTCTCTTGCCTCAGCCTCCCAAGTAGCTGGGACTACAGGCAAGAGCCACCACGCTTGGTTAGTTTTAGTACAGACGGGGTTTTGCCTTGTTGGCTAGGCTGGTCTCGAGCTCCAGATCTCAGGTGATACACCTGTTTCAGCCTTCTAAAGTGCTGGAATTACAGGCGTGAGGCATGGCATCCAACCAGGATTTCTCTGTTTCTATCATTTCCAATAATTTTGTAACAAACCATTAGGTTCCAGTGACTGTTTCTTGATAAATTATAATACACCTCTTTTGATTTTCTCTTTTTCCTACACTCTTTTTATTTGCCACACAAATTTATTATTCCTGCCAGTCATTTCCACCAAGGTGGTAACATTCATGAAGTTTTTTACAAAAGCAGGCCAGGCATGGTGGCTCACGCCTATAATCCCAGCACTTTGGGAGGCCAATGCTGGTGGATCTCTTGAGGTCAGGAGTTCAAGACCAGCCTGGCCAACATGATGAAACCCCATCTCTACTAAAAGTACAAAAATTAGCCAGGCATGGTGGCAGGTACCTGTAATCTCAGCTACTTGGGAGGCTGAGGGACCAAAATCACTGGAACCCAGAAGGTGGAGGTTGCAGTGAGCCAAGATTGCACCACTGCACTCTAGTCTGGACGACAGAGCAAGACTCTGTCTAAAAGAAAAAGCAAAAAAAAAAAAAAAAAAAAAGCAATACATTTTTGTAAAATTATGATTGCAATAGGTAACATACACTTACACATATGAACAATGCAAATTTAGCCTTTTAGCCTCACTACATCATAACAGCCGCATGCTTTATAATCAATTCAATTAAAATTAAAATTTAATCAATATTTCAGTTTAATTGTAGTCATCTCAACTGACGCTTTCTAAGCACTAACTCAGTGCCTGGTATCACAACACTGACAATGAAAGGAGCAATGATACCCAGATACCCAGCAAGATATAAACACAGTGATGTTACATCACAGTAATAAGACACTCTTCTCATTAAGGAAACAAGATGTACACATGTGGTCTAATTTGGATACGGGACAAGACAATTAAAAACTACTGCTATGTATGGAAAATTAAATTTGTATGGAATTAGATTAAGAATAGATTTGTTTTGTCTTCACTTTAAAACACTGCTAAAATGAGTTCAAAATATTTTGCCCAGGCTGGGTGCGAGCCTGTAATCATGCTTATAATTCCATCACTTTGGGAGGCCAAGACAGGAGGATCACTTAATCCCAGGAGTTTGAGACAAGTCTGGGCAACATAGTGAGACCACTGTCTCTAAAAAAATTTAAAAATTAGCCAGGCATGCTCGTATGTGCCTGTAGTCCCAGCTACTTGGGAGGCTGAGGTGGGAGGATTGCTTGAACCCATGAGGTCAAGGCTACAGTGAGCTATAATCCTACCACTGCACTGCAGCCTGGGCAACAGAACAAAAGCCTGTTTAAAAAAAAAAAAAATTGCCCAAAGTCGTTCAGAGAGTCAGTGACTGATTTCAGAATAAAATCTATTTCTATCCCATTCCCCAATTCCATATTACTCAATTCTATATTCATAAATTTAGCTAATCTTTATTAAAACATTTCATCTCTATTGATAAATTTAGAAATCTTTAATATATTAAAAATCTATTAATAACTAATATAATAATTCAATTTATTAAATATGCTTTGGAAATTACTAATATAAATATTATTATGGAGGTTTTGTCCCTAAAATTTTTATAATAAAGGTTTATATGTCAACAGTCACAATGTGATTGATTACATTAGAAAATTATAAATATGCTTCTTTAGTTCTATATTTATCTTCTCTGAAAACATTTTAAATTAATTTAACTTAATTTTATAAAGAAATTATATATAAACTGGGCCTGATAGCTCTCGCCTGTAATCTTAGCACTTCAGGAGGCTGAGGCAAGGGGATCACTTGAGGCCAGGAGTTCGAGACCAGCCTGGTCAACATGGCAAAACCCTGTCTCTACTAAAAATGCAAAAATTATCGAGGCAAGGTGGTACACACGTGTAATCCCAGCTGCTCGGGAGGCTGAGGCAGGAGAATTGCTTGAACCCAAGAGGCAGAGGTTGCAATGAGTTGAGATCATGCCACTGCACTCCAGCCTGGGTGACGAAGCGAGACTCTGTCTCAAAAAAAAAAAAAAAAAAGTTATATATAAAAATGACTTACAGTAAAATAAACTCTTTTTACACATTGAGGAAACCCAAACTTTAGTCCCAGTACTGTAAACTAGCACTATTAGCATTACTGTAATATGCTGCGTGGCGTTTATGATGATGATGTCTGACAATGTATCCTTTCACAAAGCATATTTGTTACTGAGTAGGCTTCATTCCAGCTGCTCCCATTTCCTCAGTCTGGTTCATCATATCTATAGCAGCTAGAATTCTCCTCATGGATCACTTCCTTCCTGCCTATCCTTTGTTCATTATATTCACCATATCATATATGCCTGATCATCAAAGTACTCCACCAGGACTACTCACCAACACCACCCCCACTACACCACATGATCTAATCAATGTTCAGGATCACACAGATTACTCTACCATAGTAATCCCACACATGGACGAGATCCTAAGGTGATCTCTCCTCCCTCCCTCTCACTCTGAAAATGTATGTCTTTCCTGTCTTTTAAAAGTTAACTCCCAGCTTACTATCTTCATTAAGTTTCTACCATTTAATCCCATAATTTTTTAACTCCTTGCCACCTATGGTGCTTTAATTTCTGCTATTTATCATTAATTGCTCTTGGCTGGGCACGGTGGCTCTTGCCTGTAATCCCAGCACTTTGGGAGGCTGAGGTGGGAAGATCACTTTAGCCCAGGAGTTTGAGACCAGTCTGGGCAACATGGCGAAACCCTGTCTCTACACAAAATACAAAAATTAGCTGGACCTGGTGGCATGCACCTGTAGTCCCAGCTGCTTGGGAGGCTGAGTTGGGAGGATCACTTGAGCCTGGGAGGCAGAGATTGCAGTGAACCGAGATCACACTATGACATTCCGGCCTGGGCAATAGAGTGAGACTCTGTCCCAAATAAATAAATAAATAAATAAATAAATAATTTTTAAAAATTGCTCTTTCTCCGAATGTGAAGTTTTCTACAGTTAGGTGGTGAGCCTATAGAAGCTGCATCTTCACCCCAAAGTCACAGGCACATTAAATCCCAGTTGGTTGAAATCCAATTTCTTCTAAATAGCAGCAGTACTCTATTTGCCCTCCAAATGCTTTGGGAAAACTCCCCTTTCATCTATTTCCAATGCTCTCCCCTCCCCTACTTTTCTAAAACTCTGAGATCTTACACTATAATATGCAAGGATTTCCTACTTAAGCATCTATTCGTGGGCTTGGATTTGACTTTATAGCTGGTGTGTCAGGTGCCCCAGTGTAGTGAGCATATTTCCTCCATTTATTTTCTTGGTATTAGAAACTCACTCGGATTAACCATGCAACAAATGCAGCAACAGTCCTTTTAGGAATTCCTATGCTTGTGCTATTGAATTAAAATATTATCAATCTTCTCATTATATCATAACCAATCAAAATAAGGATTCCTTTCTACTCAAATATTATGCTTAAAAATTATCTTCTTTCAGGTTTTCCAGATGCAAGTAGTTGTTTATACCGTTAATGTGATTTTCCCTACTAGAGTCCTTAAATGCACTGGAAGACCAAGATTTAGAAGCTCTCATGGCAGATCTGGTAGCAGACATAAGTGAAGCTGAGCAGAGGACAATCCAGGCACAGAAAGAGTCCTCGCAGAATCAACATCATTCAGCATCTCTACAGGCATCAAATGTCAGTGGCGCAGCCCCTCTTGGTCATGGAACAAATGTTGCCGCCACTGGTATCAGCCAATATGAGGATGACTTACCACCTCCACCAGCTGATCCTGTGTTAGACCTTCCACTGCCGCCACCACCTCCTGAACCTCTCTCTCAGGTAAGTGCGTGGGACCAGAGATGGCAGGGCCATCAGCCTCTGCTACCTATCACTGATGTTCTCTGAAGTGATCATTACATTCCAAAGTTTGTGCATCCAAAGATCTGACATACTAAAACACCAAGATACAGAGCATGCTCGTTGCAAAGCTAGAACCCTGCGTAAACAAGCCACGTGGATGTATATCAAGAATGTATTAGGGTCACATTCAGGATTTACTATAGTTTGTTTAAAGATATTTGTATGCAAACACTCTTTGATAAAACTCAGTCTTTTGGGGAAATGTTTTATTAATATCATATTGAAATGTGGAACTGATTGTATATTTCCGTGTCCCTGCTCCTAGCTCAGTACATAGAGATTGGACGGCATTCATTATACATTTTCTGAGTAGAGTGAAATTGAATTTTGTTGAACTTGGCAGCCCTGTTCAGTAGGACAGGCACATCCAAGCATCACTTGTAATGTCATAGTTGGCGAGGGTGTTACAAAGCAGGCCGGTGATGGGTGCTTGATATGGATAGATTTCTGAATATTGAAAAACAGACAACTGGAAAGTTTAAATTATCATTATTTGGGATATTAACTCATAGTATGTCTCTCATAAAAGTAAAAAGAGCACTTTTAAGGATTTTCTTTATAGAGTAAGCCAAATATTTTAGAGGAGAGTCCAGTTCAATTTCTGCTTCCACAGTTGTCACACTGTGTCATGATGTTTGGTCCTCACAAATAAGAGTCTAGGGACCCTGAAAGGTCATACAGTGCCTTTTGAATGAACAATTATTGAATATAAATCAAATATTAAATTATACTCTATCACACACAGTGCTCTACTGTGTACTTATTATAGAAAATTTATGTGAAAATGGAGATCAATATAGAACAGAGACTCTTAATGTAGGGTCCATGAAGATTTCGAGGGGGCCATGCACCCCCTGAAAGTAAACAAAGTACAAAGTTGAATGCAGTTGTGAAGCTTTATGGGCTTTCTTAAAGGGGCTTGTGGCTCAAAAAACAATTTGAGAGCCACTGCTATAAAAAGATACATGCCTGTATTCAAGTAATTAGAATGTAACCAGAACAGCTCATTTCCTTATCATTATAAATAGAAGAGAGACAACTTGCCAAACTCAAAGAGCTTTGGGCTCATAAAATACTTCACTCACTTTTCTACCTGTTCATATGAGCTTGTCAGTGTTCATATGTTTTTTGGTGAATTTTAAGTTTAAATCTCAGTCTCTCAGGCCGGGTGCAGTGGCGCATGCCTGTAATCCCAGTACTCTGGGAGGCCAAGGCAGATGAATCACAAGGTCACGAAATCAAGACCATCCTGGCTAACACGGTGAAACCCCATCTCTATAAAAATACAAAAAATTAGCCGGGCGTGGTGGCGGGCGCCTGTAGTCCCAGCTACTTGGGAGGCTGAAGCAGGAGAATGGTGTGAACCTGGGAGGCAGATCTTGCAGTGAGCCGAGATTGCACCACTGCACTCCAGCCTGGGCGACAGAGCAAGACTCCGTCTCAAAAAAAAAAAAAAAATTCAGTCTCTCTTAACCTTTGGGGACATTAAGAATCCCTTTAAGAATCTAATTTAAAAAATTAGAAATCCCCAAAAAGACATCCTGATCCAAAAGTGTGTATATAATTTCTGGGAGTGTTCAAATCCCTGGAGATGTGTCAATCTACAGATTCCTTAGGTTGGATCCCAGTTTGTGGGCCAAGCAGATTTTTGTGATCTAAATATACGAACCACTGTTAAAGTCATCATTTCATCTTTTAAGTTACCATTCCCAAGCTATAAAGAGTGACTGCCTTCTATATCTTTGAGCTGAAGAATTTTGTTATAGCCATTTAAATTCTGAAAATTGAATGTTTCGGGTGATGGATACCCCATTTATCTAGATGTGATTATTACACATTGTATGTCTTTAAAAAGTAATTAATACATTCTGAAAATCAAGCATGCGAAATTTGGTAACTTTTGCTAACATAAAGTAGCTAAGACACTAGCAATGACAGAAGTACTTACTCAATGGTATTATTTAATGGACTGTATTGAAGAATATCTTGCCCTTTTTCAGGAAGAGGAAGAAGCCCAAGCCAAGGCTGATAAAATTAAGCTGGCGCTGGAAAAACTGAAGGAGGCCAAGGTTAAGAAGGTGAATCATGAATCCCATTTGCATGGGGGCAGTTAAATTAAGGACCTGTGATTATGCTTAATGATAAAAACGCAATGAAGCCAGGCACGGTGGCTCACACCTGTAATCCTAGCACTTTTGGAGGCCGAGGTGGGTGGATCACGAGGTCAGAAGATCGAGACCGTCCTGGCTAACACGGTGAAACCCCCTCTCTACAAAAATGCAAAAAATTAGCTGGGTGTGGTGGCAGGTGCCTGTAGTCCCAGCTACTCAAGAGGTTGAGGCAGGAGAATCACTTGAACCCAGGAGGCAAAGGTTGCAGTGAGCTGAGATCGAGCCACTGCACTCCAGCCTGGGATACTCCATCTCAAAAAAAAAAAAAAAGAAAGAAAGAAAAAGAAAAAGAAAAAACAAATGTTGAGTGATACTTTCCAAATAGTTGTAATTTTCAAAAACTTTTAAGGACAAAGGTAGAGAACAATTGTTCTTTCTGTAACATCAGTTAGCTCACTTGTGATTGATAAATAAGGGATTTGTGTTACTATAAACGTGGAGGTTTCCTTGGCTTGTACATGATTTTTTTTTTTTGCTGGCTTATACATGAATTTTCCTGGAGCTAGAATGGTGGGAGTAGAATTATATCTTCAACAAGAAAGGAAAGGGCCTTTGGCTTGACTGCTGTCCAGGCAGGGGTCCTTTCAGCTCTATCTTAAGAAATTTTAAAACAAGTTTGCACATCCAGGGCTCCCTTCCTTTGAGCCGGCCTCTCCGGGACTTTGCAAAGTTCTGGGTTGATAGCAGGTGGCGCCACCTTTGGGGACTCCTTTAACTGGGTCAGAGCTCAGCTTCTGTTGGCCTGGCCTCCGCTTTTCCGCAATTGCTCTTGTGCCCTTTTCCTATGCCCTGGCGCAGCCGTCAGCCCTGCTGCTGCCCTAGATGTCCCAGTTATCTCCCAGGGTACCAAATGCTGTTTTTGCTGGTGCTCTGGTTTCAAAATAGGTTTTGAGTAATCTGCCCTTAACCCTACTTTCCTAATAAGGCTGTAACTTGATCATGCATGTTTTTTTTTTACAGAGTATAGGTTTTTGAAGAAGACATGTATTGTATTATAGCAAGAGATACAGCTGCATTTAACCTCACTAGAAGAATATACTTAATGATAATAAAGTGTTAATAATAGTTAGGCTGGGCGCGGTGGCTCACACCTATAATCCTAACACTTTGGGAGGCTGAGGTGGGCAGATCACCCGAGGTCAGGAGTTCAAGACCAGCCTGGCCAACACGGTGAAACCCCGTCTCTACTAAAAGTACAAAAATAAGCTGGATGCAGTGGTGTGTACCTGTAATCCCAGCTGCTCAGGAGGCTGAAGTAGGATAAGCATTTGAGCCCAGAAGGCGGAGATTGTCGTGAGCCAAGATTGCACCACTGCACTCCAGCCTGGACTCCAGAGCGAGACTCCATCTCAAAAAAACAAAAAATTTTTAAAAATCGTTAATTTGGTAAAGTAAGGGAAAGATGAAACAGTCTTCATCATGTTTTGTTTCGAGACAGGGTCTTGCTCTATCACCCAAACTGATCATGGCTCACTGCAGCCTTAAACTCCTGGGGTCAAGCAATCCTCCTCCCTCAGCCTCCTGAGTAGCTGGAACCACAGGCATGTACCACCATGCCCGGCTATTTTTATTTTTTGTAGAGTTGAGGCCTCCCTATGTTGCCTAGGCTGGTCTTGGACTCCTAGGCTCAAGCGAGCCACCCATCTCAGCCTCACAAAGTGCTGGGATTACAGGTGTGAGCCACGATGCCTGGCTCTTCATCTGATTTCAACTGCTGAAGCAAATAACATCTCTGAGACTCATTCAGAATTTTCTGTTGAGAGTTGCATGAATTGTCCTTTCCACATAGGACTTTACGCTTTCTATTCCCATGGCACCTATCACAGTTCTCTGAATGAAGGCGTTCAATACCTGCTGATGGATGAATATTCAGGAAGTAGTCCTTGGCTACCCCTGGGGCCAGACTTTCAAGATTCATCTAGGGGAGCCTTCCCAGATTAGTCTGGTTCCACTCATTCCAAACGTGCCCAGATTTCCTTACCATTTTCTCCCTGTTTTCCACAAGTGATTAATTCCACAGTCAATCTTCAGAACTCCACATCCTCATCTGCCTTGCCCTTTTCTCAAACCTTGGTTAAATCTAACTTTCCTCCTGCTCAGTCCTGGGCGCTCAGTGAGCTACCCTGGTTCAATCACTCTCTCACCTACAAAACCATATTTTTTAAGAGACAAGGGTCTCACTATGTTGCCCAGGTTGGTCTCAAACTCCTGGCATCAAGTGATCCTCCCACCTGGGCCTCCCAAAGTGCTGGGATTACAAGCATGAGCCACCACACCTGGCCTCAGCTAATGATTTTGTTGCGCGTGTCGCAGGGAAAATAGACGCACTCAAAACAAAAGTTGCGCAAGCTCCCGCCAAGACATCTACCTATCTACCTGCGTGCATCTCTACCCATACATCCCATATTTTTTCCTTAATGATGGATGAATCATTATGTTTCTGCCGAGGGCCAGCTTCTTCTCCTGGGCTGCAGTCTCTCTTCTTGTCCTCCTCTGCTCAAAAGTCTCTGATGTCTGCCCATCTCACACATGAAGCCAGAATGAATCCTCCCGGTGGCCTCCAGTCCCTGCATGACATGGCGACCAGTCACCTCCCTGGCCTCATCTCCCAGCGTTCACTCCTTCATTCGTCTCATTCTAGCTGCTGGTTTCCTGACTGCCCCTCGAGCACTCCAGGCCTGCCCTTGCCTTGGGACCTTGCCGCCCACACCCCTAGTACTCCCAATCCTTCCCCGACTTTAGTGTTTCCCTCAGTGCTTAACACTACCCTATTTGTGTGTGTGTGGGTGGGTGTGTGGGTGTGTGTGTGTCAAGGTCTTGCTCTGTCACCCAGGCTGGAGTGCAGTGGTGCTATCACAGCTCACTGAAGCCTCAAATTCCTGGGCTCAAGTGATCTTACCACCCAGCCTCCCAGGTAGCTGGGACCACAGGTATGCACCACCATGGCCTGCTATTTTTTTAAATTATTTGTAGAGAAAGGGTTTGGCCATGTTGCCCAGGCTGGTCTCAAACTCTTGGCCTCAAGCAATCCTCCCACTTCAGCCTGTCAAAGTGCTGGGATTACAGGCATGTAATAGTGGTTAAAATAGTTAATTTGGTAAATTAAGGAAAAGATGAAACGGGCATGTAATCCAGCACTTTGGGAGGCTGAGGTGGGAGGATTGCTTGGCCTGGCCTACTTTACTTATTTGTCCTATGTATTGCCCGTATCCCCTCCCCACCACCCCATAGGATCTTCCCCAGGGATCTTTGTCTCTTTTCCCCACCAATGCATCGCCATCTCTTAGAATAGGTGCCAGGATCACACAGAGGTGAACAAGTCAAATGTGGTCCCTGCTTGTGGAGAGTTAGAGTCTAGTTAGACTCTAGCTCTGAAGAAAATAAACCAGGGAGAAGTGAAAGCGAGTACACAGGCAATCCTCCAGATGGATAGGGTGCCAAGGAGGCCTCTTGGAGCAGGCAGCCCTGGAGGGAAGGCCTCTGGCCAGAAGCAGCTGGATGCACATGGGTGTGGTGCTAGGGGGCATTCCGGGCAGAGGAAATGGACAGTGAAAGATGGTCCAGCAAGAATGAGCTCCGGGAGGTGGGGAAAAAAAGGAAACAACTGAGGACAGAGAGGCAGCCAGGAGACACAGGGTCTCATAGGTCCAAGGAGAAGTTTGAGTTGTATTATAAGTGCAATGGGAAACCATTTGAGGGTTTTAAACAGGGGAGTGTAAGATGAATATATGGCTTTTAAAGGTCATAAAGGGCCAGGCACAGAGGATCACACCTTTACTCTCAGCACTTTGGGAGGCCGAGGCAGGAGGATTGCTTGAGGCCAGGAGTTAAGACCAGCCTGGGCAACATAGCAAGAGCCCATCTCTACAAAAATAAAAATTGTTTTTAATTAACTGGGCATGGTGGCTCACACATGTAATCACAGCTACAGGAGGCTGAGGTGGGAGGATCCCTTGAGCCCAGGAGTTCAAGGTTGCAGTGAGCTATGATCACACCACTGCACGTCAGCCTGGGTGGCAGAGCAAGATCCTGTCTCTAAAATAAATAAGCATGGCTCATACTGGCTGCTTTGTGGAAAATGGATTGTAGGGGCAAGGTATGAGAGCAGGATTCTAGCACAAAATCTCACACATGGATAAACGTGTTGATCACACATGGATGGCAGCTGAGGATGAGCTGTGCTGAGTCACTGACTTTACCTCTCAAGATAAAAAGACAAAAGGAAAAGGTAATAGTAAACTTCATAATTAGACTATTTCAAACCCCTGGATTATGAATAAAATATATTATTTATATATTTTCAGAAGCGGAAATGAAAAGAGAAGTTGTTTCATAGATTAAAAGATAGAACAACCAGCAGGTTCCATCCATTCGCTTCAGCTGGAGATTAAGAGAACAGAAGGAGAGGGCAGGTATCTCCTGCCATATATCAGAAAGTGAGAGTGTTGCCATGATTTAGTTTAGATGAATTATAATGGTACACACAAAGCACAAGCTGCCTTGATTCAACAAGGAAGATGGAAAACAGAAGCCACCCTGATCAGTGAGGAAAGAAAGAAAATTACGAAGACAAGTTATGTATTTGCTCTGATTTCAGACACTCCGAATATATTTGTTCTGTGATGCAGAATATTAAGAAAATAACTGAGACACACTCATGCATTAAGAGAATAACTGCAATGTGCTCATGCGTAATCTACAACATGTTTTTAAAGGATGGAAATCAAATCTATCTGTCATACTTTGCCCTCAAGTATTCTGTGGGCTGTTGACATCATTTTGAATTACAAATGATGTACACAGCTTGTGCTACAAAGATTTTGGAACTAGAAACAGAATCAGACTCATGCATTACTTTTATTGTTTTTTTAAAAGCCCTGTGACACCAGAGAACAGTTCCATTTGTAAATTTTATTACAGAAGCAAAAAAACAAAACTGTAAATGACTTAGGTCTAAGATATTTTTGTATTTAGCATCTTGCCAAAAAAGAAGAAATTATAAAAGCTATAAAATCTTTAACGGATTATTTCAATTTTTTCACCCTTGAATCACTTTTCCCCGTACCATATAGTGTAAATATGAAAGTATTTAGCTTACTAAATCATATAACTGTGATTTAATGTTATGTGTTGGTATAGAGCTACTCTTCAGCTTGCAAATGTGAGGGAAGCTGTGAAGAATAGTAAATGTAATTTCTTCTTGTTAAACATTACAAGACTTCTCTTGGTTGTGTGTGTGTGTGTGTGCATGCGTGTGTGTGTGTGTGTGTGTGTTTTCTAAATTCTATAATTGTGGACATTCATAAGTACATGTGGATTAACTCTAGTTTCCAATTTCTGCAAAAAGAAACCTTTAATCATCGCCAAATTATGTGATTTAGTATTTTTTCTCTATATATATGTTTTTATAGAACATAAAAAACAGCAACACGTGTTTTATTTTCTCAAGAATTCCTAAGCAGGATTGAAATGTAGTCAAACATCATTAATCTTTCCATCAGAAACATTAAATTTTCTAAGCCTTAACATTGGTAGTGTGTCTTAGCACATGTAGCTACTTTACTGCAGTAATTCTCAGCAGAGAGCAGCAAGTACGCCTTCCACAGAAAATAAATCTTAGTAAAGACCACTATTTGAAGAATTCTTCTTTTTCCATGCAACCCTCCATGACTCATTTCTAAGGTCACATGAATGGATCTTTGACACTGTGTTAGTTGGGCCTACCATTTTATCATCAAAAGACAAATACAGGGAAAAAGCAACTATCCAATTACAGATGTCTGAGTTAGAGATTTTCAAGGGAAAAAAAAAGTATTCTTTAGGAAACCCTGGGATAAGGCTCTGATTTAAACGGTCCCTGGAGGAAGAAAGCATTTTGACTGTCCCATGTCTACATTTTGATCTTGGGGGTGTATGTGAATGTTGGAAATAGAAGGTGTTACATGAGTGCTTCAACTTTTGGTTGCTGCCTGCAACTCATCCAAATGGTTACCACCACACACACCCTTCCATTGCTATCAGTAACTCTGCAGAACCACCTACAGGAGCTACACTCTTCAATCTGTTAACTATAGAGTGTTAGGAAGGAATGAAGCTACAGCCATAAAACCCTGATCATGCTCCATCTCATCTGATCTCAGAAGCTAAACAGGGTCAGGCCTGGTTAGTACTTGGATGGGAGGCAGGAATGGGACAGAACCTGGCTGCTCAGAACCTAATCTAAACTTGTGGAGAGAAAGAAATGTTATCAAATTTATGGTTTCTCTCTCCCTTTTCAGTCCATCTAATCACTTTTTTAATAACGATGCATCTTATTGGTGAATAACCAGGACCAACCATAAGCTCATATGCTACAAATACACAGGTGTCAAAGAAAATCCAAAGCCTAGCTGCATTATTTCACGAATTAATTCTGTTACATTACATGAAAATCAGGGTCTCTCTAACGAATAAGATTTTAATTGTTGTTGTTGTTTTCTTTCCTTTTTTTTTTTTTTTTTTTTTTTTTGAGACGGAGTCTCGCTCCATCCCCTAGGCTGGAGTGCAGTGCTGCAATCTCAGCTCACTGCAACTTCTGCCTCCCAGTTTCAAGAGATTCTCCTGCCTCAGCCTCCTGAGCAGCTGGGATTATAGGCACATGCCACCACACCTGGCTAACTTCTGTATTTTTAGCAGAGACAGGTTTTCATCCTCTTGGTCAGGCTGGTCTTGAACTCCTGACCTCATGATCTGCCCGCCTCAGCCTCCCAAAGTGCTGAGATTACAGGCATGAGCCACCGTACCCAGCTGAATCAGGTGTTTTAATAACTTTGACAAGTTGCCAAGAAAAAGTCAAGGATATTCTGTGTTTTTGTTGAAGATAAGTAAATGCAGCTTCCTCCAAACCTACAGATTTGGAATAAGATTACTATCAATTTTATTGTGAATTTAATTCAATAGAATATTTTGAAAATGGAATAAAAAATAAATTAGGGCCTGGATACGGTGGCTCATGCTTGTAATCCCAGTACTTTAGGAGGGTGAGGCAGGAGAACTGCTTGAGGCCAGGAATTTGAAACCAACATGGGCAACATAATGAGACTTTGCCTTTACAAAAAAAAATGAACAAAAATTAGGTGGGTGTGGTGGTGCACACCTGTGGTCCCAGCCACTCAGGAGGCTGAGGTGGGAGGATCAGTTGAGCTCAGGAGGTCGAGGCTACAGTAACCCAAGATGACACCACTGCACTCCAGCCTAGGCAACAGAGCAAGACCCTGTCACACACACACACAAAACAACCCCAAAATTAGATTCATCATGTGCCTGCAAAACAGCTTATTTCTCAGTCTACGTTCATTTCACTTAATCCAATTCTGATCTCAAATGTGCCCTGCTGTAACTATCTGTCTCTCAGTGGGGTCCCCTCAGTGACACTGTGTTGAGATATGCCCTGTGGACCTTCAAAGAATTGTGGATTAACCAACTTGGTGTCTTCAGACTCTTGGGTTGCATGAAGTGGGACTCAACTCCAGCTAAGCAAAAGAGAAGAGTTTATTATAAAGAAACAGGTGGCCGGGGTGCTGGCTCACACCTGTAATCCCAGCGCTTTGGGAGGCCAAGGTGGGTGGATCACCCGAGGTCAGGAGTTCAAGACCAGCCTGGCCAACGTAGTAAAATGCCATCTCCACTAAAAATTAAAAAAAAAAAAAAATTAGCTGGGCATGGTAGCAGGCACCTGTAATCCCAGCTACTAGGAAGACTGAAACAAGAGAATCGCTTGAATCCAGGAAGCAAAGGTTGCAGTGACCTGAGATCACGCCACTGCACCCAAGCCTGGCCGACAGAGCAAGAATCCGTCTCAAAATAATAATAATAATAATAATAATAATAATAATAATAATAATAAAGATACAGGCATAGCTTTTAATCTGGAAAAGTTTCTGGGCTCCAGGATAGAATAAGAAAAGGGAAAGATTATTGGGAAAGAAAGAAGCTAGCAATTTTTTTGTTCTCTTTGTTTTCTGTCTCTGCCACTAGAATGCCCTGTCTCTGAAGGCTAAACAAGGACTTTGTTTGTTATCTGTTTTCTCTTTTTGTGAATTGGTTTCTCCACCTCTATAATCCTAGCACCTAAAACAAGTGCCTGGCATGCAAGTGAGTTTAGATGGAGCAAGTTCACCAAACACATTCTCACATAAATTTGCAGAAACAGTAGCAACTTTGAAACCTTTATCTTAGTAGCCTTCTCCAGTTGCTGAAATTTACTGGCTGCCTCATGGTTCTATCCTCAGCTCGTAGTCAAGGTGCACATGGACGACAACAGCACAAAGTCACTGATGGTGGATGAGCGGCAGCTGGCCCGAGATGTTCTGGACAACCTTTTCGAGAAAACTCATTGTGACTGCAATGTAGACTGGTGTCTTTATGAAATCTACCCGGAACTACAAATTGGTAAGTCCCATCCGCAGCAATGGGCTGCACTCCAAAAACCTTGTGGGTTTGCTGTATTACGGGCCTGGGTTTATTCTCTTTTTTTCTCTTTAATTTTACATAGAAAATAGACACGGGGTCTCACTATGCTGCCCACGCTGATCTCAAACTCCTGTGCTCAAGTAATCCTCCCACCTGGGCCTTCCAAAGTGCTGGAATTACAGGCATGAGCCACCGTGCCTGGCCTGGTTCTTCCTTGAGAAGACTTTGGTTCAAGGCTTTCACTTCCCTTATGTGAGATTTAGTGCTCGACTCTTCATTTTGTTGTAGTGAAGAGACTTGGGTTCTAGCAGGTGGTGGCCAGACCTTGGGGGATATAAGCATTATTACTGCTGCTTCTCTAGTGGTTCCATTTGGGAAAGAAAGTGACTGGATGATACTGACTAAGATACTACATGCTTAATAAGCTGAGCAGGTGGCAGGAGAGCCTGGGTATCTGTCGGCTAATGCCTCTTTAGTGGTTGCTTCCTTAACCGACCATAACCCTGCCACAGCCTCCCACCAGTGCTCATTTCCCCTTCCTCCCTCCCCACTTGCTTAATCTCTGACACTTTGTCTTGTGGAAGAGGCTCAGCCTCAGAGTGCAAAGAAGAGTTGGTAGAAATTGGTGGAATTTTTCAAAAGCGGAAAAAAGGTTAACTGAAGATATACTGTTACTTCTCATTCTAGGTAGTGGTGGTGGTGGTGTTGAGACAGGGTCTTGCTCCATTACCAAGGCTACAGTGCAGTGACGCAGTCATGGGTCACTGCAGCCTCAGCTCCTGGGCTCAAGCGATCCTCCTGCCTCCGCATCCCGAGTAGCTGGGACTATAGGCACACATATCACATTTCTCATTTTTAATAATGGGACAGTCGTCCCTCAGGAGGGCTGGGTGGGACAGAATTGCCTGTGCTGGAAGCTTTAGGAGCAATTTCTTTTCTGGATAAAATGGCTTACACTAAAACAGTCCCTTGAAGTTGTCTTCAGTTCTATGAGTCAAGGGAAGGAATGAAAGCCTTTCTTTGTGTTTTAATTCAAGCATTCACACGTTGCTTTTAGAGTGTTAAGGAGTGATGTTTCAGAGTACACACTGTGACTCTTACAATTTCATTCAAAGTGTTTCACCAGTCATTGACTGACTGTCCACCTCACGTAGAATGTTTGCCACCATCTGGGACTATTTACGGTAAAAAATGTCGGTATGAAAAAAGTATGTCTCCGGGTACACTGGCATATGCCTGTAGGCTGAGCTGCTTGGGAGGGTGAGGCAGGAGGATTGCTTGAGCCTTGAACCTGTGAATAGCCATTGCACTCCAGCCTGGACAACACAGTGAGACCCCATCTCTTAAACAAAATGAAAGAAAAAGGTGTGACAGCTGACCATTGTCACTGTGTTATGGGTTTTTTCGTTCTTGTTTTTAATGGAAGATAACTTGAAGACAATGAAAGATAAACATAATAGAAATGTTACAGGGTGACATCATGTGAGAATTATTAGTAAGAATCCTAAGCACCTGATGAAACTCATGAAGATTAACTCAGTAATAGCTTGTTTCTCACTTGGAACCCCTGATGTCTTGGGTCTGAAAGAATACCTTTTCTTATTTCATCAGAGAGGTTTTTCGAAGACCATGAAAATGTTGTTGAAGTCTTATCAGACTGGACAAGAGACACAGAAAATAAAGTACTATTTTTGCAGAAAGAGGAGAAATATGCTGTATTTAAAAACCCCCAGGTAAGATGACCTGCATATTATTAAACCCTATAAAGTATGAAGGATTTTTTTTTTCTTTTTTGAGACAGAGTCTCATTCTGTCGCCCAGGCTGGAGTGCAGTGGCATGATCTTGGCTCACTACAACCTTCGCCTCCTAGGTTCAAGTAATTCTCCTGCCTCAGCCTCCCCAATAGCTGGGACTACAGGCGTGCACCACCAGGCCCAGCTAACTTTTTTGTATTTTTTAGTAGAGACAGGGTTTCACCATGTTGGCCAGTAAGGTCTCGATCTCCTGACCTCGTGATCTGCCTGCCTCAGCCTCCCAAAGTGCTAGGATTACAGGCATGAGCTACTGCGCCCGGTCAAGGATTTGTTTTAATGTCACCTGTATACTAACCACACCATTCATTGTCTCACAAAATATCACAAATATCTTATTTTCAAATAAACACAGACTCAACTCTTAAGTTGTATGTAAGTTAACAGCCCTTTGAAGGATTCAGAAAGAGAAGACTCCATTTTGCTTTTTCTTCATTCCAAATCCAAAACGTATCTCTCTGTGGTTGTCTGATCCTCTTCTGTCCCTGTTTCTGTGTGGCTGTATTAATCCAATATATCTTCATGCACTCACTGTTGGTTCTTCCTGCTTCCTGCTTGAAAGATGCTCTTTTCTTTGTTGTTTGTATTTGGTGCTTGTATTTGCCAGGAAAACTAAAAGGACCACCTGGAAAATGTGCAAGTTACTGTGATTTTGTTACAAACAATTTGTGCCAGTAAAAAGCATAAATTTATATCTGTTCTTTTTTTCATATTTGTTCATATTTGTTCTTCATATTTGAAAATGCTTCCTTCAAGTCATGTGTACAAGGATGTCCAGGCTTTTTCCCAACCGAGGCCTCAAGCAACTATAACCGTGTGAGGGTCATTACCTTCTTTTTGAAAATCAAAGAATGTTAAAGGTGAAGAAGTTCCTCTCCATTTTCCAGACACCTTTCCCTTTTACAGGTTTAAAAAAATAAAAAGTGTCATATCACTAGAGGGAGAATTAGGGCAGCTTCCTTGTGGGAAAATTTATCCCATAAATGTTGTTTTCTGGGGTCTTCCTTAGGTTGTATGGTGGCTGGCTGACAACAAAGCAATTAAATAGTATTATTTGTGATAAATATCAAGCAATAAAAATACAAAGTTTTCCACCCGTAACTACCTTCAATGCCATGCTTTTTTTTTTTTTTTCTTTTGTTGTTATTGTTAGACAAAGTCTTGCTCTGTTGCCGGGCTGGAGTGCAGTGGCACAATCTTGGCTCACTGCAAGCTCCGCCTCCCGGGTTCAAGCAATTCCCCTCTCTCAGCCTCCCGAGTAGCTGGGACTACAGGCGCATGACACCACCGCTGGCTAATTTTCTTTTTTTTTTTTTTTTTTAGTAGAGATGGGGTTTCACCATGTTGGCCAGGATGGTCTCGATGTCCTGACCTCGTGATCTGCCCACCTCGGCCTCCCAAAGTGCTGGGATTACAGGCGTGAGCCACTGTACCTGGCCCAATGCCATGCTTTAACAACTGCATTAGTGAAGGTACCATCTAAGTTGCTGTAGCAAAGAGACTCTTAAATCAGTGGTTCAAACAAGCTACAAGTTTATTTCTCTCTCACACACTGGTCCAGGCACAGGTACACAGGTAGATAGACCTAGTAGAATGGCTCTGCCATTTTCAATATGTGGCTTCCATCTATTTTCCAGTCTGCAGTGAGGGAAGAGCCGGGGAAATGCACATTCAGACTTATGCTTCCATCCCATTGGCCAGAAGTTCGTTCCATAATGACACTGAGCTACAAGAAAAGCTGAGAAATGTAGTGTCTGTCTGAACAACCATATGCACAGCTAAAACTAGGGAGTTACATTCAGGGCCACCACTTTGCATAACTCTTCCATGAGGCACCTTTCCCCTTGAATCTATAAAAATAATGCTCAGAAGTCATGCAACATGGCTATGCTATTGTATAAGAGAAGGTATAGCTATTGTCTAACTAAGATTAGCCATGGTGGGAGAGTCAGAGACTACCTCCATACCCCTTTAGGCTGGATCAGAGATTACCTCCACACCCCTTTAGGCTGGATTTAGAAACCAAATTGACATCAGAGAGATTAACAAGAGAAAAGCATACACATTTTTATCAGTTTTACATCTACATGGGGATCTTCACAAGAGTCCAAAGTCTAAAGAAGTGGCTGAGGCAAGATGCTTCTATACTTTTTTAACAAAGAACAATAAATTTGAGAAGAAATGACAGAACAAAGAGGATCTGGCTAGGGGCAGTGAAGTTTCTAGGGGAGTGTAAACCAGAAAGTCTCTGATAGGTCTCAATCAGTTTAGAAGTTTCTTTTGCCAAGGCTTAAGGACACGCCTAGAAGAAAACAAACAAACAAACAGAATCACAGAAATAGTCTGTGGTCTGTGCCCTTCTCCAAAGATGAATTTCAGGGCTTCAACATTTAAAGGGGATGCCAGGCACGGTGGCTCTTGCCTGTCATCCCAGCACTTTGGGAGGCTGAGGTGGGCGGATCACTTGAGGTCAGGAGTTCGAGACTAGCCTGACCAACATAGTGAAACCCCATCTCTACTAAAAATACAAAACTTAACTGGGCATGGTGGTGGACGCCTGTAATCCCAGCTACTTGGGAGGCTGAGGAAGGGAGAATTGCTTGGACCCAGGAGGCAGAGGATGCAGTAAGCCAAGATAGCACCACTGCACTTCAACCTGGGTGACAGAGCAGGACTCCATCTCAAAAAAAAAAAAAAAAAAAAATGTAAAGAGGAAAAGTCAAGGAGGGGAAAGAGGGAGGGGCATGGTAACGCACATGTTGCAAGAGAAAAAGAGCAGGTAGGGAAAGAGCAAATAACTGTATTCCTCTCCCGCTCAGTAAGTTGGAACTTTACAGAAGATAAGATGAACATAGAATTGCTCCTTGTGGAGATATTTAACCTTTTATTTGTACCTGTCTGTTTAGGAACAAAAGGGTGCAAGGCAGCGTCTTGCATGACTCAGCTTTCAGTTTACTTTATTCCTTTTGGCAGCACGAACTGGGGTCCCGCGTTTTTATATTCCTTTCACTAAAGGGCGTCACCAGAAGATCTATGGGGGGAGACAAGGGTTACTTTATCTATAGTGGAAGATAGAAGTTCCTTTGTTGAGTGTATTTATTCAGCTCCTTTGCAGCCCAGTTCCCAGTCTCTGGTGATAAGGGCTATTTTCTCGCCCTGAAACGCTGAGGGTTCCCCTTCCAGAGGAATCCTGATGGCTTGCTGCCTGCAGGAAGAGGAGGTCGGCTCACCCTTTCTGGGACCCCAATTTCTCCAATGTTTTCAACTAGAAGTAATCAGTGCACCAATCTAGCATTTTGGGGGATGGCATGTCTTTCAGTCCTTCAGTGGGCATCTGCAGTTTGCCATGGTAACTAATGATTTAGTGCACATATCATAATGGTACACTCTGAATTTTTACAAAGTGAACCACCCACATGAAGATAACAGCATTCAGGGAGGTGCAGCAGCCTTCCTCATGGCCCTTCCAGTCCTTACTCCCCATTACAAAGGTCGTCATGATTCTAGCCTCTATCTCCTTAGCATTTCCTCTTTTTGAACTTTATATATGAAATGGAATTATATCACAGTACTTTTTTTCTTTTTGAAACAGGGTATTGCTCTGTTGCCCAGCCAGATCTTGCAGTGGCGCGATCGTGGCTCACTGCAATCCCCGCCTTGCAGGCTGAAGTGAGCCTCCCACTTCAGCCCCCGGAGTAGCTGGGAACACAGGCACAGGCCACCACACCCGGCCAAGTTTTGTTTTTGTTTTTTTTTAAGAGACAAGCTCTCACCATGTTGCCCAGGTTGGTTTTATTTTGCTTTGCTTTGACTCAACTCTCATTCATGCAACTGCCCACAGCACTAGCTTATTCTTTTTCACTGTTAGTATTCCATTGTGTGACTCTACCAAAACCTATTTATCCATTGTCTTGTTGATGGATATTTGATTTGTTTCTAGGGTGGGGCTTTAACCAGTAATGCTGTTGGGAGCATTCTTGTACAGTACATGTCTTTTGTTGGACATGTGTAGACATTTCTCTTGCATATATACCTACAGGTGCAATTGCTGGACCACAGGTTGTGTATATGTTTAGTTTTATTTTTTTATTTTATTTCATTTTTGAGATTGAGTCTCGCTCTGTCAGCCAGGCTGGAGTACAGTGGTGCAATCTCGGCTCACTGCAACTTCTGCCTCCCGGGTTCAAATGATTCTCCTGTCTCAGCCTCCTGTGCATCTGGGATCGCAGTCACCCACCAGCACGCCTGGCTAATTTTTGTATTTTTAGTAGAGACAGGGTTTCACCATGTTGGCCAGACTGGTCTCGAGCTCCACTTCAGCCTGCCTCAGCCTCCCAAAGTGCTGGGATTACAGGCATGAGCCACCGCACCCAGCCTTTTTTTTTTTTTAATAAGAGTCCTTCTGTCACCCAGGCTGGAGTGCAGTGGCACAATCTCAGCTCACTGCAACGTCTGCCTCCCCGGCTCAAGTGATTCTCGTGCCTCAGCCTCCCAAGAAGCTGGGAGGCACTCACCACCACACTTGACTAGTTTTTGTATTTTTAGTATAGACGGGGTTTCACCATGTTGGCCAGGCTGGGTAATACGTTTAGTTTTAGTAGATACTGCCAAGCAGCTTCCACACAGATTCTATAACAGCCTCCCATTAGCATTGTATGAGAATTCCTGTTGTTCCACATCCTTGACAGCCTTTGGTGTTGCCATTAGTTTTTTAATTTAGCCACTCCAGGGGTTTGTAGTGGCATCTTCTGTGGTTTTAAGTTGAATTTTCCTGATGCCAGCGATTGTAGCATCTTGTCAAATGTTTGTTATCCATTTGAATACCCATTTTTGCGAAGTGCCTGCGCAAATCCTTTGCCATGATTCCCAGTCTCTCACCCTAGACTAAGCATCAACAAATGCCCTGAGGGGAAGTGTGGCT